GACACAGGGGACAGGAGGGTTGGGGACACAGGGGACAGGAGGGATGTGGGGACACAGGGGACAGGAGGGATGTGGGGACACAGGGGACAGGAGGGATGTGGGGACACAGGGGACAGGGCCATACCAAGGGACACGATGAGCTGCAGGACGTAACGAGCCGGGTGCTGGCGGAGCAAGGCCAGGAAGGTGAGGAAGCTGAGGGGACCCCAGGCCCAGGCTGTCACCGTCTCCATGGCAACCGTGAAGTCATCGCTCCTGCAAAGGCCGAGGGGACACCCTGAGGGGTCACCCGGGGACATGGGGACATGGGGACATGGGCCGCCCCCTCCCCACCGCCCCCAACTCACGTCATGTAGCGGCTGTCGGCCTTGGCGTATTCCTTCCCTGGGAAATTTGGGGAGGGGTCAGCAGGTGAGGTGGGGGGAGGGGGACAGGTGACCAGGGGACCCAGGGGACATCTGGCCCTGCTGCCAGCACCCGGGTGTCCCCCTCCCCACGCGCCCAGGGACCCCTCCCCACGCATCCAGAGAATCTCCAGCACCCCACGTGCCCAGGGAACCCAAAAAAGCCTCAGAGACCCCTCCCCACATATCCATGGAACCCACAAATACCCCACAGACCCCTCCTCAAGTGCCCAGTGCCCCTCCAGCACCCGCTGCTGCCCTTGGGGACCCCTCCCCACACGTCCAGGGAACCTCCAGCCCCTCCTGATATCCCAGGGACCCCCCCCAGCACCCACTACAAACCCTGAGGACCCCTCCCCAAAGCCACCCACATAACCCGGCCCCCCTTTAGGTGCTCACAGACGTCGGCCAGCAGCCCGGTGTCGGCGGGGAGCTCTCGGTGCCGGAGGCTGAAATATCCCTCCAGGACGCCATGGATGCCGGTGCAGAGCAGGAACCAGCCCAGGACGAGCCGGCGGGCGGGGCTCCGCTTGGCCCCGCCCTTTGGCCCGCCCTTTGCTCCGCCCCCGGCCCCGCCCAAAACCCAGCCCAGCGCCAACAGCGCAGCCGCCGCCGCCGCCACCGCGCCTGCGCACTGCCAGCCGGGCCGCGCGGCAGCCACGTAACCCGGCAACGCCAGCGCGCGCGGCCAATAGGGGTGCGCGCTCGTCTCCATGGCAACAACGCCGCCGCCGCCCTGCGAATGCGTGAGGGGAGGGCGGAAATGAGCGGCAAGGCCCGGACGGACAACGGCGAGACCGCGCTTCGCCAGCCGCCCTTCCCCGCACACAGCGCATCTCCCCCGGTCCCCGGCCCCGCGCCGGGCCCTTCCCTTCCCTCCCGTCCTCTCCCGTTCCCTCACCGGGCGCTGAAATCGAGCCCGGCCTGGGCGAACCCCGAGCCCCGCTCACCTCAATCGCTCTCCCGCTCCCGCCGCTCTCGCGCCCGCCGCGGGCCGCTCCTCGCTCCGCCCCCACGCCGCGCCCTCAGCCAATGGGAGCGCGCCGTCCCAAGGCCGACCAATAGCGGCGCGCCCCGCCCACGTACCGCGG